CGAATCCCAGCCTTCCCAGTGAGCACTCGATTGACGATAAGATACGTCTTTTTGCCCGGTGACGCACAACAAACAGGCAAATGAACAGAGCCCGGCGGGGGGTCGCTGAACATGTCCGGTCTGTGGTGCCGGCCGGCCGGGGCTCTGTTTGGCCTCGCGCGCCGCCGTTCCTGGTTCCGCCTGCCGGCCCGGCCGCCGCGTGACGCGGCGGGGCTGGCGGCTGTGTGACGCGACCGTATCGACCGGTCTCTCGGCCGCGCTGCACAGGTGTCCGTCTCGGGCCGGACGTCAGTCTGGTGTCTGTGCGTGGCCCCGTCGGCTGCCCTCTCCACCCGCTCCGCCCGCTCCGCCCGCTCCGCCCGCTCCGCCCGCTCCGCCCGCGCGCCTCCCGCCGGAGAGCCGAGCTCTGACCACGCACGGACCGGCGTCGACGCCGAGCGCTGCGCCGCCCTGCCGCAACTGGACGCGGAGCGAGGGGTGTGTGCGCCCTGCGCCGTCGGCAGCGACCCACCGCAGTACCCGAGTCGCCAGCAGGCCCCCATCTCGCGCAGGCGGCGGGTGGCGGACCCGCCGGTGCCGTCCTCTCCGTGTGCCCCCTCCCCCCCCCGGACCGCGCACGTGCTGACGACCCTCACCTCGTCCGGCAGCGGGACCCGTCTCCGGCGGAGAACGGCGAGCTCGACGGCGGCTACTTCGCAGCAGATATCGTACATCAGCGCGTACCCATCACGAGCCCAGTCGGTAAGCGCGCCCGGACACCAACACCATGGTGCTTATTAACAGGCCACTTGATGGGTCGTGGGCAACCCGCCAGCTCTGGGTGCCCTCAGCTCGGTCTGTCAGTGTGACGAAAACGGGAGAAATGGAGAGGGCTGGCGACTGGCACGGGGGTTACTTGGAAGGGGCGAAATTTTGGGCAGACAGCGAATCTCATGTTAAAACAACAACAGAAATGTTAAAACAAAAAGTGTATTTTATCGACAACACTGGAAGAGAATTTACAGACTAAATCTCTTTTTGGAAATGTGATGGGGTAAGTTGTTTTTTCGACTGCTTCTCCTGCACCGCGTTTTCGCGTCCCCCGCGCGACACTGTCGCAGCAGTGTTGGGCCAGAGCGGGAGCACCGGCGGCCGCCTGCTACATGACCCCATTCCCCAACCCAGTCTGCTAGCACACCTCGTGTGTATCCTTTTGAAGGGCTCTATTAAGCCCCCCGTGAGCGTCGCGCCGGGGCCGCAGCGCGGTCCGCGCGGCGGCGACCCCGACTTCGGGTCGGCGTTCGGCGGCCGGCGTGCCCGCAACACCTGGGATCGATACTGCCGTCTCGCTGAGTCACACCGGTGCGTGTCGGCGCGTGCTCCGCCGTCCCGCGGCTGTCGGAGAGCGGGTCAAAAACATCGGATGCTGTCCACCGGCGCGGTTTGGAGCGCGGCGCCAGCTGGGAGAGCCGAGGACGGCCGGTCTGTGTCTGAGCTGCAGCCGGCCGCCGGCGGGCCGTGTTCACCTGTACGGCAGCCTGGCCGTCACAGGGTCGCTCAGGGCGCGATGTGCCCCGTGGCTGCCGGCGGACACCAGCTGGGAGCGGCGACTTGGCGTGCCCGCTGACTGCACGCGTGCATCATGGCTGTCCCGTGTCGTGCCATGCCGTTCGACCCCGATGTTCATTACGTCACACCGTCAGCAGCTCGTGAGATCGGCAGCAATACAGACGAGTTCGGGCGGCTGGTGGGACCGGCCGCGGCCCGTCTCCGAGCCCCAGTGACACACTCCGCTGGCCGCCAGACGAGCTGGACCCGGCCGAGGAGCAGTCGCCGCTGGAGGCGGCCCGCCGCGAGAATGAGCGCCTGCTGGCCACCTATCCGGCCCGCATACAGCGGAGTCCGCTGCACGTGCAGCACAACCTCAGGTGAGCGCGCGGCGGGGCGTGGCCTCTGGGCACTAGCCCGAGGCGAGACGGCGTGTTTGGAGTCGCTGCGCGTGGCTTACGATTCGCCGGGTAGGAAATTCACCTCAGTGTGACAGTCTTTCTTGTGGGTGCTGGTAGTGTAGTGGTTAACGCGTCTACGTTAAGCGCTGCGCGTCCTGGAAACCAGAGGTACGGGGTTCGATTCCTCGCGGTGCCCGCCCTTCCTGCCAGGGTGAGAGGCAGGCGACGCCATATAGCCCCAGCAGCTGAGTGCGTTATAAAGCCCCAATGGCGACGACGACGACAGGTGTTTCTCACCTCACACATCGGGTGACTACACGGCCCTCGTAATGACGTCAGGCGGGTCAGGTTCGCGCCCCCTGCCTGCGCTTACAGCACAGGCCGAGTCCGAGCGTCCCTAATGACGCATACTGACGCGCGTGACGCCGGTGACTGTGCCCCGGAGCCGATCCGTGACAGCCGCCGCCGCCGCCCGCCGGCAGGCTGGAGCTGCAGCGAAGGCTGACCGAGAACCGTCAGATTGCTGTCATGAAGCAACAAGCCTGGCTCAAGAGGCGGGACGAGGCCCGGCAGCACCACGTGCAGATCGCCAAACGGTGAGGCCCGCCGGCTGACTGGAGGCGTGTGGCGCAGAGTCGCGGGGCGCGGCGCTCCGTCACGTGACGGGCGCCCCGGCGCGCGTCACGGCACGTGCGGCGCCGAGGGCGTGGCTGCTGGTCCGGTCCTTGTCGGTGGCGCGCATGTTTTGGCATCATGGTGTCAGGAGATGCCGGTACTGCGAGCGCGTCGCTGCGGTCGATAGCTGGTATCTGTGTACTCTGCCCGCTCCCCCCCCCCCCCCCCATCCTCCCGTCCACCCGCTCTCAGCATGTCGGCCGAGCACGAAACTGTGACTCAGCCGCGCAGTCAGTTTCAAGTACGGCGCAGCTGCCATGGGAGTTGTGGCGACGTGTTATCTCTGGACAAGGCTGTGAAGAGATCGGTCTAGAAGTCTGTGAAGAGACCAGCCCAGAGAGATGCCCCAGAGAGTTGGGTGTTGCACTTCTGGAGGGCTCCAGTGGTGTGTTTCGGGCATCCATTTGGACCGGGCACGTCTCCCAATATGATTGTTGATCGACGTCTCTTCAAATCTCCGTCTCCTCCTCCGGCAGCGTGTTCAGCGTGGCGGAGGGCAGCGTGGCCACGCCGGAGGACCTGCAGAAGCAGACGGCGTTCGCGGACATCCTGCAGTTTGAGCAGACGCGCGCCTGGACCAAGCAGCTGCACCACAGCCTGGACGAGGCACCGGACGACCCGCGGGCCGTCGAAAACGCCCTGCTGCACATGTTCCTCGAGAAGTCGCACCCGCTCTCCAAGCTGCGCCAGCGGCTGCAGTACTCGCTCTTCTGCAAGATCAACCCGCTGGTGGAGCAGCACGCCCACCTGCTGGAGACGGTACAGGTGCCCCTGCGGGGCGCGGCGGCCGGCCGGCGCGCCGATCCGGACTCGCGCCAGCAGGCGGACGCGGCGCGGCAGGTCCGGGAGACTCCCGGGCCGGGCAAGGAGGCCGCCGGCGACGGTGACGCCGCGCGACGCGTGCCGAAAGGTCACCCGGAGGAGGCGCCGGAGCGGGCGAGCCGTGCTAGCGAACTCCCTGGAGGCGGGGAGGAGGCGGCGTCGGGACGGACCGAGGCCGACACGCTGCTCTGGCCGTCGCTGCCCGCACTAGACGACAGCGACGAGTGTCCGCAGCAAACCGAGGCCTTTCGTCGACACCTTTGGAACGTCGTGTCCGGTGGGTGCCGCCGTGCTGGGCCTGGGACGCAGCGGCTGGCCGGGGCCGGGTGGGTGGATAGTCCGGCGGCGCGTGTCGACAGGTGGTGGCTGCCACTTGTGTAAGTGATTGTGTGGTAACATGCCCAGTAGCCACGTCCAATGTTGCGACTGGCCTGCCGTGGCGTGGCATTCGTGCCGGCCCCAGTGGTGCAGGATACTTGCGCTCAGTGTGTGACGAGGAAGTGTGGCCTCCGACGCGGCTTCGCTGGAGTCTGAGGCGCGGCGTGTGCGGTCCGCGGGCGCCGAGTGAGTGCTGACGCCCGGCCCCGTCCGTTCCGGCAGAGACGCAGGAGGGTGTGCGGCTGCTGGTGGCGCTGGCGGCTGCTGTGCACCCGGCGCTGGCGCCGCCGCTCAGCCGGCCGGTCGTGCAGCGGCTGCTGTTCACGCCGCTCTGGCCGCACCTGCTCGTGCTGTTGCGGCTGGCCCACCTGCCGCAGGAGCGGCGGCTGGCGGCGGCGCTGGCGCGGCTGCGCGCCGCCGGTGAGCGGCCGCCGGACGCCGCCAGCCGCCGCCTGCTGCGCCGCCTGCTGCTGGCCTCCAGCCCGGCCGAAAAGTGCCGGCTGCTGGTGGAGCTGGTGCAGGTGCTGTGCAGCACGCCCGACGGGCCGGGTGGCGCCGACCTGCTGCTGCCGCGGCTGACGGCGCTGCTGGTGCACTCTGGTGCGCCGCAGATGCTCTCCGAGATGCACTTCATCTCCGAGTTCACGGCCGACGGCGAGCTGCAGGGCGACCAGAGCTACTGCCTGACCTCGCTGCAAACGGTGCTGCTGTACCTGTCCGAGCAGTAGTGGCCGCCCGGTTAAGCGCGGAGTGGCCAGCCCGCCCCGGGGGGGCGCGAGTGGCGGACCGTGCCGGATCTCCCCACCAGCGCGCTGCTCTGACGGGCTCACCGGGAGCCCTTGGGGATCTACTGAGAGCCGCACCCATCGCTGTGCGCCTGATTCAGTGCTGCAGTCGTGTTTTTTGACGACTTTTGCGTGGCCACCTCACTTGTCGCGGGTTACGTCATGGACGCAGCTGTGTGCAACATCGTGCTTTTATGCTGGGCTTTCACGCGATTTGCAGGTGTGCGTAAGCTGCATTATCACTGAAGACGGTTTTCGCACGTTGAATATTCTCTACAATATATGAAGCCGCAGCTGACTGGATTGTGGACCGGCGAAGCCATCAGCCCTCCAAATGGCAGACCTCGGTTCAGCGCAAACATCAGTTCTCGTCCGGAGAGGCCGCGTCAGTCACGTCACCTCTCACGACTCCTGCACCGCGTCCGCTATGTATTGCATTTAGGTTATAAAATGACAGTCTGTCATCTCAGTCGATTGCGAGATACCTGACACGTGACTCCGCGAGCAGCTCGGTGCCGGCGGGGGCCGGCCGAGTTGCGGGCGGCCGACCGGCGGACGCCGCTCCCGCGCGGGCCGGCTACGACGAAGGCACGCACCACACACGCCACTCACCACACGCTACACACAGAGTATGCAAACCGGCGGACGGTGGCACCGTCGCCGTCGGGGGGGGGGGGGGGGGAGGCCGGCGGGGCCCCGAGTGACCTGCGGCCAAAGCCGGCCCCGCCGGTGGCTACCAGCCCCGCCTCGCGCTCCAGCCTCTCCGCTCACTCGACGCGCACCTTGAACACTGGCGAGATCTTCTGCGCCATGGCGTACAGCTGGTGGAAGTTCTGCACGGCCAGGTAGACGAGGCCGAGGTAGGCAGCGATGGCGGCCGTGGCGGCCAGGTCGAACACGGCCGGCTTCACCTGGTAGGCGGTCACCTGCCCGCGCGTGGCGTCGTACAGCACCCAGTCGGGCTGGCGACGGTCGGCGCTCAGCGACGACACGCGCACGTCGTGCAGGTCCCTGTAGTGGCGCCCCCAGCCACCCGGTTAGAGCGACGGCGAGCGCAGGGGGCATGTAACGTACGCGGCAGGACCGGGCGGAACGTCACACTATCAACATAGGCTGACCTGACCGGTGGTATCCTTGACACGGAAAGAGGTGCCGACTAAAAAATTCACAAAGAACAACGCGGGAATAAAAGTGCGCAAACTGGGACCGGTCGTAGAAAACAAAGAACATAGCTCCATTGCGCTTCTGGACAGCCTTGACGCCGAGACTCCGCGTGCCGGAGGATCAGGTCGGATCAGGCGATCAGTTGATCAGACGAGCGTCGCTGCCGATCGTCTGTGGCAGCGACCGAGAGCGGGGTCACGGCTGTGACCGAGAGCGGGGTCACGGCTGTGACCGGGAGCGGGGTCACGGCTGTGTCCGGGCGCGGGGTCACGGCTGTGACCGGGAGCGGGGTCACGGCTGTGACCGGGAGCGGGGTCACGGCTGTGTCCGGGCGCGGGGTCACGGCTGTGACCGGGAGCGGGGTCACGGCTGTGACCGGGAGCGAAGTCACGGCTGTGTCAGGGCGCGGGGTCACGGCTTTGACCGGGAGCGGGGTCACGGCCGTGTCCGGGCGCGGGATCACGGATGTTACCGGGCGCGGGGTCACGGTTGTGACCGGGAGCAGGGTCACGGCTGTGACCGGGCGAGGTCACGGTTGTGACCGGGCGGGGTCACGGTTGTGACCAGGCGTGGGGTCACGGTTGTGACCGGGAGCGGGGTCACGGCTGTGTCCGGGCGCGGGGTCACGGCTGTGACCGGGCGGGGTCATGGTTGTGACCGGGCGGGGTCACGGTTGTGACCGGGCGCGGGGTCACGGTTGTGACCAGGAGCGGGGTCACGGCTGTGACCGGGAGCGGGAGTGAGGCTTACCTCTGTAGGGCGGCCTTGAGACTGGCCACCACGTGATGGGAGGCGTCGGTGAGCAGCTGGGCCGGCCGTGGTACCGACGTCAGGTAGTCAAGCCAGCCGCGCACCGCCTCTTCCGAGACGGCCTGCGACAGAAAAAGAGGGAGGGTTCCTCAGCGCCCCCCTGGCCAGCACGCGCTGCCCACACCGGGTCCCTGCTGCGGCCCGACATCGGCTCTGTATTTCCCAACAGTTTGTTAAATTGATATTCTAAATCTCGGTAGGGGAGAATTGACAACGTTTGTCATCCCACATGCTGTCTGTGTCAATACCAAATGACAGTGGGCGTATCACTCCAAAAGAAAATAATTCAAATAACACGTGCAGCAGCACTGCTTCGGTACATGTAGGGTCCGACATTGAGTCATATACTGCAATTCATATTTTGATTCGAACGTACCACTGTCGGGTGGAGAAAATATGACACTCGTAGACTGTTGCACACTGCACCGAAAACGAGCATCCAAATATCCGACCTCAGACAAGCGACCAATCAGTACTCTTTCCAGCCATCACGTTCACAAGCCCTCGCGGACACCGCATTAGCCACGTGGGTGATGGCAAGACCGCCAGCACACATCCGAGCTGACGACAACTCAAACTGTTGACCGGTCCCGCGAGGTTCCGCGAGGTTCGCCGCGCGTGCTCACCATCTCGTCAGTGAAGAGGAGCGGCGGCGCGGCGGCGTGCGGCGGCGCGCGCAGGTCGAACATGACGCGCGCCAGCGCCTCAGCCACCACGCGCGTGTTGCGCACCAGCCGCGCCTCGTCCAGCGCCGGCCGCGTGTCGAGCAGCGAGCGCAGCGACGGGTCCCAGGCGGCCTGGCGGCGCCGGCGCCGTCAGCACACGGCGGCGGGGGTGGCGGCGTCACGCCACAATCCGGCCACAGCTGGCTCTGATCGCTCCCAGGGCCGGGGCGGGACTGCCCTCGCGCGGGCGCCGGCCCCACACTGGGGCCGACTCACGGATAACGCGCACTCTGCACAGTTTCCTACGCTAGCGTAATTCCAGGGCTCCCGAACAGGCTACAGCACCACCACAAAAATGGGCAGCTGAAATGACTGTTGAGCATCACATTCACAACATTGGTCGTTATTAATGCGATGGTCAATTGTTATGCCTGAGCCAACGCACGCCTGAGCCGCCTCATCTACTCCTAGCCAATCACTTTTGTTCCCTTCCGTGCCTGCCACGCGACCTGACCGGCGCCGTCTCGCGCGCCGCCCGGCGGTCGACCCACCTGGTAGTGCGAGAGTGTGAAGGCCGGCAGTCGGCGCATGCTGAACTGCTCGTGCTCCCAGGCGAGCGTGCGGTCGCCCAGGTTGATCTTCTTGTGCACCATGCTGACGTTCAGGCCGGGCGCAACGTCAGCGGCGGCTGAGCGCAGCGCCTGCGGGCGGCGGGGTCGGCGTCACGCGCCGAGCAGACGGCCGCTGTGGGCGCCGGCTGCCCGGCCAGCGCCGAGCTCGGCGGCCGCGGCGTCAAGGACGGCTCACGCTCACACGACTGTCGCAGCGGCCGGCGGAGGGTGCGGCGGGACTGAGCCGCGGCCGCCGCTCAGCCGCTGAGGCAAGTCAGCTACCCTCTGACCAATCGATCCGGTCAGTCACGTCACGAGTCCAGTGACGCCTCTCCGCAGACAATACTCAGGAGCGGGCGGGGCAGCTCAGGAGCGGGCGGGACAGCTCAGGAGCAGACCAGCTCAGGAGCGGGCGGGACAGCTCAGGAGCAGACCAGCTCAGGAGCGGGCGGGGCAGCTCAGGAGCGGAACAACAACAGCACGGGCGACGGAGCGGCCGCGCTACGAGCACACCGGCGACGCGAGCCGTACCTGGAAGAATTTGTCGCCCGAGCTGTCCGGCTTCGGCGGCTTCGACACGTGCAGGCTGAGCGAGTCGCCTTGCGCCAGGCTGTCCAGGCACAGCACGAACTGCACGCCCTGCCGAACGGACCGTACCGAGTCATCACATCACCCAGCGTGAGCCGTGCAAAGTGTGCACGAGCCAGGTCCGGCGGAGTGGAGCGTGCGACAACGGGCGACGTTTCCCGAGCAACGGAAGGGTTCATAGCGCCGCCACACGGCGTTTCACACGTTTGCGGGCCGGTCCTCATGGGCCGACCGCAACATCCGCTCGCGCCACGTGCTGAGCGCACTTCCGCACCGCAAAACCACGGCCGTTCGCCATCCGCTCCGGGGAGCAAGGGCAGCCTGTATCAGAGAGCAGACGGACTGGCCAGGGCGCCAGAGTCCGCGTCACGACAGCGGAACGGGGAGAGCGCGTGAGTACCCGGGCGTCCATCCCGCCTCCTGCCCCGGCCCGGCAGCGGCACGGGTCGGCCCAGCAGGCGTCCCCGCCCCCACCTGCGAGGCGGCCGTCTCCAGGCTGTCGCCGTGCTCGTCCAGCCAGTGCCGGCTGCCGGCGTAGTTCAGCTTGCCGGCCGCCGTCAGCAGCAGCACCAGGTTGAGCCGTGGGTGCGTGCTGCGGCTGCGGTACAGCTTGCTGAGCAGACGCGACAGCTCCAGCAGCATCGTCACGCCCGAGCCGTTCGAGTCGGCGCCCATCGAAAGCTCCTGGGGTAAGGTAGGCGTAGCATGACGCAGCGCGCGCGTTTGGCATGCCACCGACAGGCCGCGACAGTGTTGGCAGCGTCTGATGCACTGCGTGCAGACAGGCACGAGCGACACAAACACACATTCCTAATTCTGTGCACCTAGACTCGCCCTTTCTGAAGCGTACGCCACAGTTGTTAGCCCGAAGCCGACCACTTCGTGCCTGCCCGCCCCGCGCCCTTCGCGTCCCCGCGTGCCGCGCAGACCGGGACGTCACGCAGCCTTGGGCCGCGACCCGCTCGTCGACAGCAGCGCCGCCGCCACTGACCGGCGCGGCGGCCATGGCGTCGTAGTGGGCCACCAGCAGCACGGTGGGCAGCTGCTCCTCCACGCCGATGCCGTGCAGCCGGCCCTCGACGTTGTGCTGCTGGGCGGCGGCCAGCGGGGCGCTCTGGGGCCCGGCCGCCTCCAGCTGGAAGCCCGTGGACAGGACGGAGGCCAGCAGCGCTGCGGCGGAGGGCGGCACGTCGACCTGGGTCACGCTGGGTCACGTCGCATGCCAGGGCTGCGCGCAGGCTCCACAGGGCGCCATCCGGGTAGTGTCGCCCGCACAACATGTGGAGAGCGGCGAGGCTGGTCGTGGTGCGGCTGCGGTCGGCACATCCGATCCCATCCCCATCCCCGCCCCTCCGTTCCACTGCACGGCCACACGGCACCGCATCCAAGTGCTGATACCGGTAAGCGACGTACCGTAACCCCGTGGGCGTCAAGAGCAGTGGCTGCCGTGTCGTCTGTTCCAGTCTGGTCTAGCGCCTGCACCAGACAGCGGAAACCCTACCTCCAGTGGCTGCATCATACTCTCAGCATTCACACACGACAGCAGGAATACCGGCCTTGAGGCCTTGATTCTCTGTAAGGTATCCAACAGCGGGGCACCGCACTCGAGACTTCGAGCCTCCGTAAGGTACCCGACAGCCGAGTACGGTGTCTCACACGTCATGCGACAGGACACCACTCACCCGGCGTCTGTGCGGACCAGCGGGCCGCCGGCATACCTTCGGTGGCCGAGCGGGAGGCGGCGGAAGCGCTGCCGTGCTCGATGGACGCGTACATCTCGGCCGCTTCTGGCGTCTCCACGGCGAAGAAGATGGGCATGCCGAAGGACTCGGACATCAGGTACTGCTCCACCGACTGCAGAGTCTGCGACATCGTGATCCCCGGGCACGCCGGTCAGGAGAAGAAGACGTATCGGCTCACACAGCTCAGCAACTCGCGATACTGTTTCAGGAAGTGTTCCACGATTATATGGGGTTTTGAACTAAAAAGGCCATCTTGAAGGCCTTTCAGTGCTGTTTACAATCTTACCCTTGTTAAGACTTAAGCCCCTTAAGAGATACATGTCCAAGAAAACGGGAGCAGGCACATCAGAGAGAGTATTTCAAGGTCACCTTGGCCTTCGTGGCATCATAATGACGTCATTCAAATTCTGCCATTCCATAAGTCATCGGCGATCAAGGCCATGAAGAACATAATTGTCAAGGCGTTCATATCTGGCGTCGTGAGTGCGATTTTCAGATACAACAGCCGTCAATTGGCCCTCTATCAATGCTCCGCAAGGTACAATGACGTTATCAAACTATGACGTGTTGCGCAACATATTCACTCAACAGAAAATTTTGCTGTCTGAAGCAGTCACTTCCGCTTTAAAAAAAATACCCACAGGTTTAAGTGAGCTTGCTTCATCATACCTGATGCTTGCTTCAATATCTTTAAATGTGAAGCATTCCCTTTAACAGAAACTCAGCTGAGTCGTTACGGCATGACCAGCACCCCGAGCCCCATCTTCCGCCAGCCGTCATGAAGTGAACGTATCACACACCGTGTTGCATAATGGCCCACCACAAAGCCTATACACGTGCCTTCCGGACGTTCATTCAGCCTGGTGCAGGTAGTTCAAATATCTATCACAAGCATTATCACATACACAAAATTATAACAGTCCCTGTATGTGTGCAGACTCCAAGCAAAATAGGTAAAAGCACCTGACAGCATGGTTCGACCCTAAACCATGACTGACTGAGTCACTGTGAGCTGAACCACTTTCCTGTCACATGTAGCGCGTGGGAAAACCCTTAGCGGCCAAAGCGTCTTGTCATGTCATTGGGGCTTCACGACACAGGCAGTTACTGAGGCTACATGGCGCCGCCTGCCTCTCATCCTGGCAGAAAGGGCGGGCACCGCGGGGAATCGAACCCCGCACCTCTAGTTTCCCAGATGCGCAGTGGTTAACGCTGATGTGTTAACGCTGATGCGTTAACCACTACACTACCGGCATCCTCTATGTGCCCTCTGTGAATATTTAGCATGGAATGAGAAACACCACGAACAGCAAGCAAGACCACATGCTAATACGTAATACCTGGTATATATATATATATATATATATATATATATATATATATATATATATATATACGTATATAATACGTATATATATATACCAGACATGCCAGATTTGATAGAGTGATAGATGAGCACACCACAGCTCCCTGTCACATGCTCCCCACCTCACGGTGCTCCTTGGTTATCTGATGGAGTGCTTCTGGCATCAGTATCAGCAGTCCACCCGGGCCCTTCGCCAGGATGTTCTGCACGGACTCTAGCGTCAGCTTTCCAAGTCGTACTATAAGACACTGACGCGACGGCGTAGACGAGAGCTGAGTGGCTGCCTCCAGACTCAGCATGGATGAACGGCTTCCTGTAACATGAAACAGAGATGTCTTTGAAGAGATCAGGCTTGTTAAAAAAGTTTTGAACTACGTTTTTTTTACCTATGGCTGAGCAGATGATTTTGATCATGACAAAGTAGTTTGTCAGCCACAACAAAGTGCTAATATCAGAAATATTGTGCCTTCTGAGCTTTGCCTTCCACTGTACATTGCGGATTTAAATGTTGTAATGAAATCATGTGGTATTCACTTCCTGCTGGGCCAGTATCAAAGGAAAAAACAAAGCCTACAGTCTACAGAGAATGCCCTTAGAAAAAAGAAAGGCAAATAGTCAGTCAGAACATGGTGCAGCCTTCCAGGTATTTCATGAAAGGATGCCATTTTGGTAGCCCTAATCCATTTCAGAGGCCAAAGCTATAAGTAAGCCTCATTGCATGCTCACATGATATAGGACCATAGGCCACAGATGGTGCCAATCATTGTTTCTCACATGCCAGTCAGGTAAGGCCAGCAAGAGGCTCTTTTGGGTACAAGATAAGAAAATAATCATATTTAAGTTTTCTATATATTTCATAACCATATTCATTTCACTCTCTTGAACTTCATCTTCATCATATTTTCCTGAAGTCATTTCTGCACGTGGCTGTTATCATTACTAGAAAGACCAAGAGTTAAGAGAATCTTGTCCAGTCTATCAGCAAACTCTCAACTTAAGCAAAATGGCTGAACAATATCATCAAAATTTAACTATATCTAACCACAGATACATGGTTCAAGCAGCTTTTCGCAAGCAGCATTTTGAGAGCTGCACTGCATGCTTTCCAGATGTTTTGTTTATATAAATGTGCTCAATTTATCCGAGCATTTCTGCAACATGGCCACAAACAAATCCATGTGAACCATGACTCATATGAGAAGGAAATTTATCATACCTGAATTAATTTCCTTAAGTTCTAAGACCTTTGGAAAAGATAGTTTGAAATGCATACTTATATTCAGCACAGCACATAGAAAGAAACACATCAATATGTTCCAGGACAATTCTGAGCCCATGTGGTGCCTCCACTGTGATGCCAGTTCACTCACTGTGTCCGCTATATTTCATACAATGATATAACCATCCTGAATAAGACACCACCCGGGTAACTATGTGCACTGCATAGGCTACAAAACATTAAGGACAAGATGTTAAGAAAGTTAAATGCCATCTTGCAAGTCAAATAACTCACAATTAGGTGGTTAAGTGACAATGAAACAATTTCCTTTTTTGAAAACATGGAGTATTGTTAGAATGAGGGTAGTCCTCATTCACCACATACAATTACTAAAACTGCCAGCTATCAGCCAGCTTTAAAAAATCCATGTGAAATGTCATTTGCAAATGCAATACCTCCCAACCTCAGTACTATTTTTAGAAGAGAATGCCAAATTTAGATACTAGTCTGCAAACTATGGAAATATGCCAAGAAGATGTGTGGGCACACAAAATCCTGTCCTACATATAACAGCAACTTACACCATTAAGCACACACTTGATTAACCTTAGCCCAAACATCATAATAAGTCATCAGATTTGGTTATTTTCTGCAATCTCACCATGTTTGTACTGTTAACACATTATGATATGCCAATTCAATAATTTCTGCCCCAATACTTTTATACTTGCACACAACTTGCAAATGCACCCCTCTCTGGCCAAATGAGATCCTAACAAGCTCTGCCATAGTTTGCAGACTGTTTTATGTGATAACAACACAATGAATATCACACACATCAACTGAAATGGCCATCATCATAAATCACTTTTTATGGCAATTATCACAAAACTGGACCTCAACCACATCATAGTAACATGCCATCTATTTAGGCATTTATTGATTGTAGTTTTGCACTTCCTCTGTAACACAATGAATCAGCATCTACTATAATTCTGATCAGATAGTCTGCTACCATTCTGGTTGCCCCATGCAGCACGAACAGTCTTTTAGACAAGAGTGTATGTTAGCATGCTGACTGGAAAAAATTACAGTTGGCTTTATTTGTGCACCAATACTGCCTAGCCATAAAAGGATGTCTCTGTGATAGAAATTATTTCACAACTGATGACAGAATTTCCCTAACATAAAACTCACCGAATGAAGAACCTGACAGATCGAATTGCTGAAGCCTGAAGACCGGTATTTCGTGTGCGCCACGAACGGGCGACGTCACTAGGAGCAGGATAGGAACAAATGCAAAGAGTAACCAGTGGAATCTAAATGCTTCCAAGACATCATGAAGCTCCATTTCCACGATATCACTGAGTGCTGTGAATTATTGCTAAGTAGTAGGGTGGCTCAATGGGATACGTCCCTTCACCCCACCACAGCAATCACAACGTTGCCTGCTGAGTGATCGCTGTTTCGACGCGGCGAGGAAATAGTCACTTGCGATTCGCAAGTGCCGCAATTTTAGCTGCAAAATTTTCCCTACCATTCTCTCCTGTATCATGAGCTTAGTGCATATAAACAACACATTTAAATTATTGATCCCGATTCAATGAGAATTAAAAGACAAAAAATATTAAAGTTATCAAAATCTGTCGAATAACATCAGCACGGCATGTGCTGTAAGAGCCGTGGTACAAACTTCTTTACAGTCCATAGCACCCAAATTAATCTGGTAGCTTTTCCACGAGAGGCAAAAAAAGCTGCTACAGAGAGAAGGGAATGCGTTGCAATATCGTGTGATTAGAGGTTTCTTTTGTGTGAGCAGCGCTTTGTGTAAAATAGTCGGCATAGGGGTTATCGGGTTTCTTTTTTCAAAGCGTCCCCTTATAAGATAGGGAAGACTGATTGAAATCCTCGTGAAAGGTGAGAGAATAAAATGATTGTACCCCTGTTATGTGAAAGTCGATTTGTAGAACATCTTACTCTGCGGCGCATTGGTAGCGTCATGGGGGAATTACCTTGTATTTATGATTGCCTTTTTGCTGCTGTGTAGGCATAAATGGCATCTCTGAATTATTTGATAGAACTTCTCATGCCGTTGATGGTGCCATGATTTCTGAAGCACTTACATGGGTTGTTTCTCTTTTCTGCCTGTATGCTTTGTTGCTGGGCTCCCTTTAGAGTGCAGCACGTTGCATTTTCTAAGTTCTTTATGTATTGGGTGTAGGTATACATTGGTACCTAATGTTAAAAAGAGCATTGTACATCATTTATTGGGTTTGATGCAGAACATGTTGTAGATAATCATATAACAGGTAGATTCATGCTCCTACCTTACAATTTTAATAATAAGGATAGCAAGGTCCTGATTGTGGCACACACTGCCACTTTGACCCCTCCCCCCCCCCCCCCCCAGTGCTGTTTCTGTGGTACCATTACATGGTCACAATATTATGGCTCATCAAGAATGATAAACATGCATGGGGCCAAGGTTACAGTAACAATGCAATGAAATACATTACTGATGTGTAGGTATGTTTATAAAACAGCTGAGAAAAGTTCAGAACATAGCCTAAACTAGCCCAACCTAACCTAACCTGATCTAACCTAACCCAACCTAACCTAACCTAACCTAACCTAACCTGACCTAACCTAACCTAACCTAACCTAACCTAACCTAACCTAACCTAACCTAACCTAACCTAACCTAACCTTCCCACCCTATCCCCTTCAGCCCAGTGTCCCATTGGTGCCCATGTTCCATGCCATATACGTGTAATGCATTAACAATTTTTGTTTAGCCGCCCAGTAATGTTGTGATCATGTGTAGCAATAGTGCCAGGGTCGCAGTTGCTGCATGTTTGCGGCTCTCTGATGTTTGCTATTGTAGTTGTTTCAGTTCCAAGCTAAGAATTAAGACAACCTATTTAATTATTAATTACCATATGTTTTGCCTTAAAAAACAATTGATGTACAATGCTCTTTTTTAACATTATGTAGCAGTGTTTACCATGGCCATGTATGGTACTTTAATGATGCTCTTAAAAAAGTCCAGAAAGTCTTACTAAGGAGAGTTTCCTATAGCATAGAAAGTTCTAATTTAGGCATGCAACTGATCAGCTATATAAGTCCAAAATTCCTGAACATGCTTGGTCTTGTGTTTTTCTACATCACACCACAAAGTTGTGCTTTAACACACTGATTACAAAAGTACCTTTGAATGGTACTGAGCTGTCCTTTGATGTATGTATTGGACAAGGTATAACTTAACTATGACACTGTAAATAAGAAGAAAATCAGTGAAAATGTACCAAGTAGGCAAAAAGAAATATGATATGCTCAAGTATGTACTGATTTTATCAGTGTTATTGGAGTAGGCATGATCTTATTTTTATGATGATAAAATGCACATTGGCTTGGAGGTACTTTCTCCTGGAACTATTGGTTGTATGATCCTAGGCTGTGCCATGCACACCAGGGGTGTAGTTAACAATTCAGTCAGGGGGGCTTCATCCCCACCCAGGTTGGGCTGCAGCCCCCCCCCCCCCCCTCCCTCCCCCAATAATTGGTCATTCTCTCTCTTGCTGTATATAGGAAGGATGACCTAAGTTGATAGGTTATTACCAAGCTGAGTTTTGTTATGTTGGCTCGAAGTATCCCAGTGTCACCAACTTCTTCACTTCACTCTTCTTCAACTTCACTCTGAGTCATATGTCTGTCCAACTGTGCCTTGAATATGCTTGTTATGGCAGAAGGCATCTTGGTAGGTTCAGTACTTCAATAATTTATGGCTTCTTCCTGGGCATATCTGCACCTGTGCAAGTCTGCCAAGCAGGTATCTGATAAGACCGCAAGGATGTATTCCTGGGATGTGACCGTGTTTTTGTTCTTACAAGCATTTTCATCGGAGGCACTGGCATGCACCCCTTTTTGGAGTTGTGTGTGTTCATGATGGTTAGAGCATCTATTATACTGTCCTGAGTCATGTTGATGGTGTCTTATGTCTGCAAAGATGGTCCTGGCTCTTTGTTCCTTTGCTCCTGTCCAGGATGGACAGTGTCTATCCTACAGTGCAGCCTCCAGAGCCCCTTTGTTTGGTTTTGGTCAGGATGAGCAGTATCTGTAATCTTAATTCTGCCTCAGCCCTGCTCTTCCTCCCCCTCCCCCCCCCCCCCCTCCCCCAGTGGTCTGCCACTGGCCAGATGTGGGTGTCAGTAACATAGCCTCAGCATCAGCCTCCTGTAATATGATCCCTGTCTCAGCCCCCCCCCCTCCCCCCTCCCCCCCAGGGATCTGTCATGGGCAGGATGAGGGTGTCTGCAGTGCAGCCTCAGCCTCCTGTAATACTATCCCTGTCTCCATCCCCCAGGGATCTGTCACTGTCGGGAATAAAGGTGCCTGTAATGTAGCTTCAGCATCCTGTAATATGATCCCTGTCTCACCCCTCCCCCAAGACATCTGTCACTGGCAGCATCAGGGTGCCTGTAATGTAGCCCCAGCCTCCAGAATATGATCGCTGCCTCAGTCCCCCCAGGGGTCTGTCACTGACAGGATAAGGGTGGCTGTGACACGGCCTCTTCCTCCGAGGTTGCCTCGGCGACGGCCGGTGTGGGTGACGCGTCTGCTGGCCGCCAGATATGATCCCGATGTCTCGTCACCTGGGCCAAGGCAGTCAGCAGACGCGGCAGACGGAGCTGGACGAGATATGGGGCGACCTGCTGCGCGGCATCGAGCAGGTGTACAGTGGCCAGTCGATGGGCCGCGAGCGCTACCTCCAGCTCTACACCCTCGTCTACAACTACTGCACCAGCGTGCAGCAGCAGACGCAGCCGTCCAGTTCGCGCGCCTCGTCGGCCAAGTCCAAGAAGAGCAGCACGTGTCACAGTGGCGCGCAGATTGTCGGCCATGAACTCTACAAGCGACTCAGGGAGTTCTTCAAGGGGTACCTGATGAGGCTACTCAAGGTGAGCCTTCGGTGCGTTGTGTGGGCGTTCGCGCTGGATCCCGGTGCCCAACGAGTGCTTGCCGCCGCCCGGCTCGCTCCTCTCGGGCTGCACGCCGGGAGCTGGCGGCGGCCGGCCGACCGTGATGGCGGGCTCCTGATCTCGCCAGAAGGGGCGTCCTGAGCCGATCCTGTCTCGCGTGAGGGGAGTACAGGGTCGCCCGTGCTGACGCCGCCCCGTCCGCGGCCCGCGTCCGCAGGGCGGCAAGGAGCTGATGGATGAGCCGGTGCTGCAGTTCTACACAAAGAACTGGAGCGAGTACCAGTTCAGCTCCAACGTGCTGAACGGCGTGTGCGCCTACATCAACCGGCACTGGGTGCGGCGCGAGCTGGAGGAGGGCCGCAAGGACATCTACGAGGTGTATCAGCTGGCGCTAGACACGTGGCGCGAGCATCTCTTCAAGCCGCTACACAAACAGGTGGGTCGGCGAACCACCAGCAGGCACGTCGAACGTAGCCCTGGTGCGCGTGATTGGCAGCCACGTGCAGCCGGCCGCTGGTGGGGGCAGCCGGGCTCGCGGGCTGCTGTGCCGACGGTGGAGTTCTTTGTGATCGGTGGCTCTTTGTCGCGGTGCCAAGGCGCTTGGCAGGATGCGTTGCGCGGGCGGGTAGTGCGCCGCGCCGAGGAGAGGGGGGCTCTTGGAACGGCAGGCCGCGCTTTTTGTCCGGAAGCTATTTTTGTCCGACTGCCCGCAACCGCCGACGGAGTCTGACCGTTGCTGCAACGGATTCAGAATTTCCGTTAACCATTTGGAGCCCATTTTGTTCTGACTGGCATTTGTTTTAACGTATATCATGTGTGCTACTGTAAGCCTTTTAAACGTCATTTCGTCCTTAATGGCTTATGTGATAATGCACATCGTGTGTTTTTCAGTGATGGTGCTTCAGAATGTATTGAGGCGTCACACATTCACGACACACCTTACCACCTTGCACCAAATCCCGCAGTGGGTCCCTTCTGTGCCGTCGGCAGCCCAGTGTCACAATGGGTACACGCTGTGGCCCGCTGCGTGTCGCGTCAGTGTCTCTGACACACTAGTGACGCTCGCTCGGCCGCGGCCGTTTTCAGGTGACGAACGCCGTGTTGAAGCTCATCGAACGGGAGAGGAACGGAGAGACCATAAACACGCGGCTAGTTAGCGGCGTCATCAACAGCTACGTTGAGCTCGGTAAGAGCTCCGGGCGCTGCCTCGCGCCTCGTACCGGTCGGCAATCGGGACACGCATCGGTGCGCTGGGCCAAATTGCTACAAGCCAAGTGTCTCGGCACCTGCCTGCGTGTTGTAAATTACGTTGGAGCTCGCCGCGTTGGCGATGTTTCGGCGCTGCGCTGCGGGCTGTTCGCACACCATTCATATCAGCTCTGACGCGGGGTCACGCAGCGACTGACTTCGCCGTGCGTCGACTGTGCGCTGGCGTGCTGCGCATGAGGCCCGGCCCAGGTCGGG